GTGACCCAAGTGGCCCCGCCCACTCCCGTCGACGTGATTCCCGCCGTGAGGTAAGCGCCGGTCGAATCCCGAGCCCCGCGGAAGAGGAGGCAGACGAAAGGGGGAGGCTGCTCGGCCCGGCTCAGGCTCGTAGCGGAGCCGCAGCGCAGGGGGGCGTTCGGGTGGTCCTCTCGCTCCTCCGTCAGCTCGTGGCGACGTAACCACCCAGGCCTAGGCCTCATCTCTGCCGAGCCGGGCCTCAGGCAGCAGCGGGTGACGCAGACGGAACATCATGTCGTCCGTGGCCGAGCCTCCGCCACCCCCGCCTCCCGAGAGCGCGCCTTCCAAGCCCGCAGCCTCGGCCGCCAGCAGCGTGAGCAACACCAGCAACAAAGGCGGCCCGGAGGGCGTCGCGGCCCAGGCGGCTCCCTCTGCGGCTAGCTCCGGCCCCGCGGACTCCGAGATGGAGGTGAGGGTGGCTTGTGGCGCGGGGAGAGGGCGCAGTGGGGAGGAGGAGCTGGTTCCCTCGGCTGGATTTTAGTGATCAGACGTAGAGCCATACTCCACCCCTCCTGCATCCAAACTCGGCCTCAGACCCTTAGGATCCGAAATGATTCACACTTGCGCCCTTGTGCTTAACCTACGCACGCCGACTCCGATGGATTTCTGGCACTTCACATTTGCATTATTTGTCTTTTTAGCGAGCCTTGCCAAATCCTCCAACGCTATTATTAAACAGATGTTATTGATTACTGAGGCCGAGAGGAACCTACCCGGTTATGTGTGTGGGTTTTTTTTTTTTTTTTTTTTTTGGTAGATTCCCATAATTCCCTCACCCATCTCCTGTTCTAGCTTTTAGTTTCCACTAAACTTGCGGGAAGGGAGAGGGAGATGCCACTTGATAGTGAGGGAAGGATGTGTGGGGTGGGGAAGGCATTTAAAAGCAGCGCATCCGAGGCCTCCTTTTTTTCATCCCGGTCCTTGCGGGGGCGGTATCTGTTCTGGGCAGAAACAATGGCTAGAGCTGGATGGCCGAGTGCGCAGTGGGGATAAGCGGGGCGCAGCTGCTCCTGTGAAGGGAGAGGAGGCTCCTCTCAGGCACTGTTCCTTAGGGAGGTAAGCGACCAGGGCAGCAGCAGCTGTCTTGCACCTCCCATCTAATTTGGGTAGGGGGATGAATGAGTGAATGGATGAATTAGTGAGTCTGGGGCGGTTGGCTTTCAGTCCAGCGCAATTCCTCTTTTTGGGCCTTGGCCTTTTTTTTTTTTTTTTTTTTTTTTTTTTTTTTTTTTTTGAAAATTGGTACTGTTCGCTTGCCGAGCCTGCCTTCAAGGGCTGGGGTTGGCCCGGGGATGGTGACAGTGCTGCGGGGGTGGAAAGTTTGGGGAGCTGCCAGGCGGGTCTCTTGGGTGTGCTCCAGGACTTTGAGAGGTCTGGGAACAAAGTGATTGCTTGCTCCTTCCAGATTTTATTCTTGGCCTTCGATCTGTTTTGAGATATTTTATAGTCGCAGCCCAAGGATTTCTGGGATTTTTCCATCCTTAGATAGAAGGAGTGAAGGTAATATTGCTCTAAAAAAAAGGATCCTTGATGCAGAATTAACACAATAAGTAAATGGAAGTGCAGTTTAACACCGAAGAGTTTGGCGCACCAAAGTTTTACTTGGCCATCAAAGGTCTAATCTAGCGTGAATTAACATTTATGTTAGTAGTTTATAAGAGAACTTTTTGGTGAGGGTAGGTTTTAGTGCAATAGGACGTTGATATTCTGTACTTTTTAAGTGATTTGATTTCTGTTTCAGGTTCTTATCTAGTGTTGCCTATTTTTCTTAAGGTTTTAAATGGTTCTTTTGGATTACCAGAGCTGTTTAACTTGGATTCATGCTCCACGGTTTAAGGGGGTTTGAAAATCTTTGACACTGAAGGCAATTGTGTGTAAATGGACAATTCTCTGCAAAATGCTGTCCATAGTTTTCATCAGCTTCTCAAAAGGGTCTGTCGTTCAAATTTTGGAATAGCAACCATTGTCTTACTAGAGATGTTGTTTAAATATCAGAAAGAGTAATTTAAAGCCTAAACTGGCTTTCAGTTGCTGTTTTTAAATTTAAGTGGAATTCAAGTTTAAGTATGGATATTGATGTGATAACGAGTACCAAATGAAGTCTGGGCCATATTTATTTGCCAGATGAAGAAATTGAGTCTTCTGATAAGTAGAATCTGTGATAGAACCCAGGTCTAGCTCTGAAACTGACCCATTTCCCACAAACCTTACCCTGTCATATACTTTTTAAGAAGGATGTTTGACAATTTTATTTCTTGAAGAATGACTTAGTTATTTTTACCTTTTTACCTAATGGTGTGTTAACTGTTATTTTTACCTTTTCATGTATAGGAGCATGAGTAACTTAATCTTTTATCAGTTTCTTCACTGACTAGTTTTAGTCTTGATGTTTTTCTCTTCATGTTATAGTTGATTTAAAAAAATTTTTTTTGAAGATTTTATTTATTTATTTGACAGAGAGAGAGCGAGAGAGCGAGAGAGCGAGTGAGCACAAGCAGGGGGAGCAGCATGCAGAGGGAGAGGGAGAAGCAGGCTGTCTGCTGAGCAGGGAGCCCAACGTGGGGCTGGATCCCAGGACCCTGGGATCAAGACCTGAGCCGAAGGCAGATGCTTAACTGACTGAGCCACCCAGGCGCCCCTAAAAAACTTTTTTAAAGTAAAAAAAAAAATAAAAAAATAAATAAAAAAAATTTTTTTTGAAGTAAAATGTACATTATCTTTTTCCTAAATGAATTGGGAAATCATTGAGGTTCACTGATAAATACTAGGTTTGGGCATATATGTGTAATATGTCTGGCAATCTTAAATGCCTTTTTCTTGTATGAAAGTAGAATTTAAGTTGGGTATTTTTCAAAAATTAGAAAATAAGTGAAAACTTGCATTCACAAATTGTTTCTGACAAGGTGGACCTTCCCAGAAATATTAGCTACCTTTCCTATGTATTCAGTTAAATTTTCATTTTTGCTTGGTGTACTGATAAGTCAGGGGAGTAATTTCGTTTTTTATTATGATTTTTTTGGCAACGTGGACGGAACCTGTCTTTTTGTCTTTCGCTGTTGATTAGACTAATAGGTAGGTATACATATGCCAACAGGGTAGATGATAGATAGGCACACTGTATACCAAATAATCATATGACCTCAGCCCTGGAGTCCAAATCCTTTTTTTTTAAACTATGAAAGAAATAATGACTACTGTTGTTTATTATGGTATATTTTGACCTTTTATGATATCTAGTACTATTCTGTGAAGTAGGCTAGTAAGTGGTTTTATCATTTTTATTCGAGGACACCAGAGATCTGCGATGAGCTTTAAAGGTAACACAGATGCCCAAAGATCTTAGCAGTGAAGTTAGATTAGAATTTAGATAATTTGACCTCTTAATTCTGGTACTATACCAGCTCCAGTCCCCCAATTTTTTAATCACAGGTAACTATAGTACATACTTCCAAGCGCGGATTTGTACATTGTTAATGAAAATTATACTTTTACCTATTGTTCTTTAGTTGTTTTTTTGACAGATGAGTAGAACTTTGCAGAGTAGTTGTTGCTGTTTCTTTGTGGCATTTTGAATGTCAGGTCGAATAAATTTACAAGAAAGGATATTTATTACTAATTTGTAGTTATGGAGTTTTCGATTTAGGGTGCATGATAAGTTTTTTGGAAGATGGAAGATGGAAATCAGGGTGGCTAATGATGGTAATTTTTAGGTGTGTATTTGTATAGAAGCACAGTAGATACTGCAGTGTTATGATTAAAAGGGAACATGATTTCTTCACATTATATACTATTTAATTTGGTTTCATAATAGTTATTGAATAGAAAAAGAAACCGATTTGTTGAAAGTTATTCTGTTCTAGCTTGATGTAGATAATAGTCTTGTGTTTTAATCTTGGCCAATAGCCATGCAGTTTACATATTTGGGTTAAATAGGTTGTTATCATCATGGCATTTAATTTCATCAGGATACCCTGTCAGGTTAGATTATAGCCATTTAAGTACCTAGCAAGTTTGGGATAGAAATGCATTACTTAGAATGTGTTTTGAGCAGAAATTAGTTTAATAATGGTGTGTTAACTGTTTTTGAAGAACAATCCATGATTTTTCCCTCCTACCAGGAAGTATTTGATGATGCATCTCCTGGAAAGCAAAAAGAAATTCAAGAACCAGATCCTACCTATGAAGAAAAAATGGTATGTATGCTCTAGTATATGAATAGAGTCTATAGTAACTTTTAATTAGGTGATCAAATGGACCAAAATTCTGCATTAAATTTTTATAACTGAGGCACAGATATCCATTTGAAATATGTGTAGCATGGGATACTATAATTTTTGTTACTTGCCTATGTAAAGCAAATGTAGAAATATTACATGAACACACATAATAGTGTTAGGTAAATATATGGGATATGTTACTCCCCTTTATTTTAAGATTTAGTGTCAGGGAGTGAGGAGAGTAAAAGAGCAGAGTAGTAGTTATTCAAGGTGTATTCTGCATCTGTCATTCTATTCCACTGGGTACAAAGACAATAATATATGCTCCTTGCCCATAGCTTTTTTATAATATGGTGAGATCTTTACAAAAAGAGCACATGATGTTATTTTACTTGAATCCTTGAGGACCCACCTCACATTTCATACCTTAGAAAACTTTTTTAGCATGACTTAACCATAACCTATGAAGAGCTTTAAACTTAGATTGAGATTCAGTAATAATAATGGCTAATAGCAAATGCTTACTATGTACTAGGCCTTTTTCTGAGTGCTTTATGTGGATTAAACTCATTTGATTGTACTGAAATCTTAAAAAGTTAAAATAACATGTTAAATAGTAATACCACTATGCAGTATAACTGTGCTCTCTAAAAGTAAAAACAGTGTCTTAATCTGTCTTCAACACCTAGATCAATGTCTGGTACGTAATATATTTTAACAAATATTTTTTGAAACTTACTTTCTCTTCAACCTTTGATCTTCTCTTCAAGATCAGTAAATATTTTTGAATCTCTTACATAGCTTCAAAATCCTAAAAATAAATGCATTTTTTGAACACGTGTATATGTATATGCATGCATACATAATGTGCATGATAAACAGTAGTATGTAAAAATATAAATGACATTTTTATTTTTTATTTTAATTACAGTATAATTAACATACAGTGGTATATTAGCTTCAGGTGTACAATATAGTTATTCACTAATTCTGTACATTACTTAGTGCTTATCACCTATTTCACCCCCCTCCCCCAACCACTAGTTCTCTATATTTAAGAGTCTGGTTTTTTCTCTTGTTTTGTTTCTTTTTTTAAGTTTTTTTTTTTAAGATTTTATTTATTTATTTGACAGAGAGAGTGAGAGAGGGAACACAAGCAGGGGGAGTGGGAGAGGGAGAAACAGGCTTCCTGCCCAGCAGGGAGCCCGATGCAGGGCTCGATCCCAGGACCCTGGGATCATGACCTGAGCCGAAGGCAGACGCTTAACGACTGAACCACCCGGGCGCCCCTCTCTTGCTTTGTTTCTTAAATTCACATACGAGTGAAGTCATATGGTATTTGTCTTTCTCTGACTGATTTCTTTCTTTCTTTCTGTTTTTTTTTTTTTTAAAGATATTATTTATTTGACAGACAGCAGGAACACAAGCAGGGGGAGTGGGAGAGGGAGAAGCAGGCTTCCCGGCTAGCAGGGAGCCCGATGTGGAGCTCGATCCCAGGACCCTGGAATCATGACCTGAGCTGAAGGCAGATGCTTAATGACTGAGCCACCCAGGCACTCCTCTGACTGATTTATTTCACTTATCATTATACTTCTTAGGTCATCCATGTTGTAAATGGCAAGATTTCATTAAAGGACATCTAAGATTTCTATTACATTTTATATATGTGTATATCTCTAATTGTCCCATATCTTTTCTTTGCTGTCAAGCTTAAAGAAAAAGATATATTTGCCAACTCTACTTTTCCCATTCATTTCTTCAAACCCTTCATAATTTATGTTCTGTTGTTAACACTGTAGTAGTGAATCTTATTTCCAATTTATAGTTTAATTTTACTTTCATTCTTCATCTCACTTCTCTGATATTGTCGACCACTCAAAATTTTTACTTGCCTTGAGAGACACTTTTTTTCCCCTAGATGGTATCCTGTTTACTTGACTATTCCTTTGTCCTCCTTCATCCTAAACATTTCCTCTTGAACAGTTCGATCCTTATCATTGCTTTTCTTTTTCTTTCTTTCTTTCTTTTTTTTTTTTAAGATTTTATTTTTAAGTAATCTATACATCCCAGGTAGGGGTCAAATTCAACCCCAAGATCAAGAGTCACATGCTCCACTGGCTGAACCAGCCAGGCAACCCTGTCATTGGTTTTCTTTAAACTGAATTCTTCTCAGTATTTATCTCTAGCCCAGATGCTTCCAGCCATTGTATTATTTTCATTTGTTTGTTGGACATTTAAGTCCCTTTGGTACTTCTTTCTTAGGAATACCCAAAATTGAGTTTATTTTCTCTACCTCACATATCTGCTTAGTGTTATCTCAATCAATGACAGTTCCACTTAATATATACCCAAGCTGTCCATGATGGTACTTCATAATTTTAATAGTCTTGCAAGTTTAACTTCAAAAATAGTTCCTCTTTTTTCCCCATTGCCCTATTCAGTATTCTTCTATTGCATGGGTTATTTTGTTGGCTTCTGTATTTGTTTCCCTTTTAATGATCTGGCCTCTTCCAAATCTCTTCATACATTTCTTCCAAGTTTTTCAGTTTCCTAGTTATTTCCTTTTTCACTAATCATGATCTTGATTACTTTTCTTTTTAAGTAAGTTCCCCATCATCTGCTAGTTTCTAACCATAGGTAAGTCTTGGTATCCGCTCTTCATTCTTGAACCGAGGTTGCTGAATACTACTTGAGAAAACTAAATAATAGTGCTGGTTGGTACCAGAATAAATTTATGGTTTTTACTCTCTTAGGTTTTCAGTATTTACTGCACAACAATCCATTTAGCTATTTAAAAACTTAACCACTCTGGATAAACTTTCTCTTCCATTTCTCCCACCCTTATTTTCAGGCTCTTCCACAAATAATTATAGGCCTTCAGTTTATTTCCTCTCTGTTTCCAGATATTTATGGCCTGTACCTGCCCTGTGTCATTTCCTTCTGTCTCAGAGAAAGAAACTGGTTTTAAGCTATTGATTATAATCTTCCACTTGATTTTATAATTTATGTCCTTCAGGTTCCTAATCTTATTCTATTGTTTCTACTTTTTTTTTTTTAAGATTTTATTTATTTATTTGACATAGAGACAGAGTGAGCACAAGCAGGGGGAGTGGCAGGCAGAGGCAGAGGGAGAAGCAGGCTCCCCACAGAGAAGGGGTGCCCGATGTGGGACTCAATCCCAGGACTCCGGGATCATGACTCGAGCCGAAGGCAGTCGCTTAACCAGCTGAGCCACCCAGGCACCCTATTGTTTCTACTTTCTAAGGATCTGTTAGTTTTCTCCCTTCTCTTTAAGATCTCAAATCATTTTTATTTTAATATTCTTATTCTCACCCAAGGTCTTTGCCTGTTTTTCCTTCAACCCTTGCCACAGTTCTACTGAAAGCTTATTTTGTAAATGTTGTTCTGAACTTCTTGGTTCTTTGCAACTTGTTTATAGTCCCACTACCACTTGGATGAATGAATGGTGAGAATTTTGAAGTCATTGACTTTTGCGTAGAACTGTGGTGAAATTTATACTTAATTCTTTAAGGCAGTAGTTCAAAACTTGATTTGCTGATTTGTCTTGGATATTTTTGTTCTGATGGGTCATGAAGCACACTTTGAAAAATCTTTTTTTTTTTAAAGATGTTATTTATTCATTTGCGAGAGAGACAGAGAGAGAACAAGCGGGGAGAGGGAGAGGGAGAAGCAGACTCCCTGCTGAGCAAGGAGCCCGATGCGGGACTCGATCCCAGGACCCTGGGATCATGACCTGAGCCGAAGGCAGACGCTTAACCATCTGAGCCACCCAGGCGCCCCACTTTGAAAAATCTTAAAACATCTAGAGCCATTAAAGGTTTTTGAAAATTAGAGATGTGTGATAAGATCTAAGAATGGGGGTGGGGTGCCCCCCTTCTCTGTTGAAACATCATGTCTTAGGATTTTCCTGGTCATCCCTGTTAAAATTTTAGTGCCATTCCCAGGTCCTTTTACCCTGCTTTATTTTCTGAGCATTTATCACCTTCTGACAATCTCAAATAATCCCTTAGGTTTATTTTTTTTTTATTTTTTAAAGATTTTATTTATTAGAGAGAGAGTGCACATGAGAGGGGGGGAGGGTCAGAGGGAGAAGCAGATCCCCCACTGAGCAGGGAGCCCAGTGCGGGACTCGATCCCAGGACCCCAGGATCATGACCTGAGCTACCCAGGCGCCCCCTTAGGTTTATTTTTGATATTGGACTATAATGGAAAAAAATGCCTTTTCTGGTAGATACACAAAAGTAGTTGTTGAATTGAACAGTTATTTAAGAAGATAATGTTTGTTGAAAACTTTTGAAAGAAGTGAAGAATACTTAGTGATTTTTGAATACTGCAGAATAGGTTTTACCTTAAAATGTCTAGCTCTGACCTATCTGAATTTCCAGAGCCTATTTATTTTGATTCCAAATATAATTATAATAATTGAATAGACTTTTTCAGCCCCAACATCTTCTAGTTGCATGTTCTTGGCTTTTTTATTATATGCATTAAGAAATGAAATACTGCAAAATACACATAAGTATCTTAGTTCAGCACTTTAAAATAGTTCGTAATCTTCAAAAACAAAAAACAAGCTTGTCTTCTACAGGAAATTTATCATGGAGAAGCATGTTGATTTCAAGGATCTTAAGTTGTTTTGGTTCATACTCTTCCATTCTCTTAGTGCGATAAGTGGCAGAGGTTAGACGTGAAAGGAAGAAATAGTATTAACTGCATTGGGTTGATGAATATTTCATGAACTTAATAGATTTTTTTTAAAAGATTTTATTATTTGAGAGAGAGAGAAAGCACGAGGGGGAGGGAGGGGTAGAAGCAGATTCCCTGCTGAGCAGGGAGCCTGATGTGGGGCTCAGTCCCAGGACCCTGAGATCATGACCTGAGCTGAAGGCAGACGCTTAACCGACTGAGCCACCCAGGTGCCCTCCCCCCCCTACTTTAAGTAAGCCCTGTGCTGGAACTCCACGACTCTTGAGATTGAGAGTTGTGCTCTACCAACTGAGCTATCCGCGTGCCCCTTAATAAATGCTTTTTAACCTGATACCTTCAATTTGGTGCAATTGAACTGATGAATGACCAATGCGTTTTCCCCATTTTTGAATAAATTCACTTGTACTGAATAATGTCTTAATTTTTTGACATTTTATGGTCCACTATATTGATGTATAATTGACACAAGACAGTTTTAAGTTTAAATCAATGAGTTTTGGCAGAGTCATGCAGTCAGCCACCTTACATTCATGATGTAGAACAGTTCTATCATGCCCTGAAAAGTTTGCTCTTGTCTTTATCCCCTTGATGCTTCAGATCTGCTTTCTATAACTAGCTATAATTTCATGTAAGTGGACTCATAGTGTGTAGTCTTTCTGTTGGCTTCTTTCATTTAGTATTGATGCTTTGCCCCTTTTTTTTTGTAATAATGCTTTTGAAACTCATCTATGTTGCATGTCTCAGTAATTTGTTCCTTTTTATTGCTGAGTTCACTATTTAGAGGCATGTTGAAACTTTGATTTCTGAAGTTGTATTAATCTTCTGATAAAATGTGTCTTAAAATTTATTTGCAGCAAACTGACCGAGCAAATAGATTTGAATATTTATTAAAGCAGACAGAGCTGTTTGCACATTTCATCCAGCCTGCTGCTCAGAAGACTCCAACCTCACCTTTGAAGATGAAACCAGGGCGACCGCGAATAAAAAAGGATGAGAAACAAAACTTGCTATCAGTTGGCGAGTGAGTAATAGTTTATATTTCATAGTTGAAACATTTATTTTTGATAATCTTCATTAGAAGCG